TTTCATTCAATTTTGAAAGGTTTGCTATTGATGATGTCCTCTTTTGTTTTTATAGCACAGTTCACCCTCAAAGATTATCTGTATAGATTAGAAAAATCACCTTGATTTTTTTAATCATAGTAGCTTTTTCTTTATGGTGTGATTCATTTCTATCATCTGATGAACATTTCTCCTTCCTTTAGGTGCCCTTTCTCAGATTACTCTCACCCAATCGAGTCCAGTAATAAAAAACCAAGGAGAATCAGTCCAACTCAAATGCTCCATAACTGGATTTGATATTATTCATCATTATATGAATTGGTTGATGAAGAAGCCCAGGAAGCTGTGGAATGGCTGGTATATTATCATATCCCAAAGTACAGTGGTTATTCTCCTGGAATATAAGGAAGATTTACTATGTCCAAAGACAGTTCCAACTTCTCCCTCCAAATGAATGACTTGAAAATGGAGGACACCGCTATATATTATTGTACTACTCACATAGATGGAAGCACCAAGCACCATGATAGAAAGGAATCATGACCAGGGGAAAAAATCCTTCCTGGTCTGGAGCAGTCAAGTTTCATGACCTGAACAGCTGGTTGAGTTATTTATTATTAGAAACTACTGTTTCTAAAGAAAATAGAAAGGGGAAATCTCCCTCTGTATGACAAATAATTGTTTCATGCATGAAAAATCAAAGAAATACCTCTGTTTTCATGGCCATCTGTCTATCTCTCAAATCATGAACAGCCCTCCACATCAGTGTTTGTCAATCTTGTCAATTTCAAAATTTCTAGGCTTTAACTCCCAGTAGTCTGATTCAAAGGCAGCATGATTTATGGGAGTTGAAGTCCAGGCATCTTAAACAGGGGTGGGATTCAACCTGTATGTGCCCGGACAGTTGAAAAGCACTGTATGCGGGTGTGCAACATTTGAAAAACCACTTTTTTGCTGCTTTTTCAACCTCAGCTGTGCCGTGCAAAGCAGCTGAAGTTGAAAAAGCAGGAAATAAAGGACAGGTAAGAGCTTGGGTGGGCGGGTAGGTGAAACAGCAGCAGACACAGAACTGGGTCTGTATCTGCTGCTCTTCAGAGCTACCAGTTCTATAGAGCTGGGCAAAACCACCCCTGATCTTAAAGCTGACAAAGTTGACTAAACATCAGCCTGAACAGATGTTGGAGAACGCACATGTTCACTTCTGAGTGCCTATCCTTTGATTAAAGAAATAAAAATGTAACAAAGTAAAAGGAAACAATGCATTGTCGCAACCCCTCTAATTGTTGATCTATGTAAAATAAATAAAAGAATTTGGAAGCATACTTATGATAAAAAATGCTTTCAATATAAAACATCTTGAACTTTGCAACTTTTCATGGTAGATCCTTTAGAGTCATGAGGAGCTCCAAATAAGTTTTGATCTTCTTGTTGTGGCCTGTCAGCCTCTGGCCTTCCAGCAGCCAAATCAGATGAGGAGGAGGCATGGGAATCCAGGTCAGCATCAGGGCAATCTGAGGGAATGGAGCTGTCAGAGAAAGAGAGAGGCAGAGGTGGAGCCTTGGCCATCCATCAGCCCTCAGATGGAGAGTCAACAGCTGAGCAGAGGTGGCTGAGCAGAAGGCAGAGAAGAGGAGAGCAGTGGAAATCTTTGGGCTGATCCTTGGGATGGAAGAACTAATGAAGCCCCACCCTAGCTCTGAGGATAAAAGGCAGGGGGCATAGTTGAATAGATGTGGCAGACAATTATTCATCTCACTGCTGGACAGATTTGTTAGCCTGTGGTGAGAGAGAAACTTTTTGCTGGGGCTGCTGGCACTCCCAATAAAGGAATTATTGATTTAACTACAGAGGGTTTATTGTGTTTGGGGAGCTGGGTTGGAACACTTCCTCATCAGTTCTGTTAAAAGGGGTATGCTTTGAGTCCAGTCAATAAAAGAGAAAAATCTGGTGGGACTTAGGAAGTGGGTCTTCCCCATTATTACACATGTCTCTCTGGAAGACATTACACTGAAAATTACATTGGTCCCAACTTTGCTGGACTTTTATAAAACTCATAACACCTGGCTTTTCTCTCAGTTATGGGGATTGGGAGGTAGTTCATCTTGTGAGATGTGTGAATGTCTTATTGATGAATTTGCTCTTGGTTTGCCATTTTTTGCTATTTGCTTTGAACTTTGATATGGGTTTATTTATTAAAAAATAACATTGCATTATACAGATATTTTATCTGGGTACTGTAAGTCAGCCATTTGGGGAGACAGGTAGCCATGTGAATATACTCAACTCAATTCAACTCACTTCAACTGGTATTGAAATATCTTGTTTGATTTTGTTCGATGGGATCCTTGATTTTTCATTGTTTTCATTCAATACTATTTAACTGCCCCTAACAGAAAGCCAGTTCTTTAAATGAATTGAATTCAAAGGAATCTAGTTCGTTTTTTTTTTTTAAGTAATTTTCTTCAAAGGCTTAGTATTTTGTAAACTACTTTAACAGGGATATACTGTGGTTAAATTGATAAGAGATGAGTAATAATAAAAAAATGTTAGTGGGTAATGTGCTACATGACTCTTTATCATTTTCTTTCACCAGAGAGTAACATGGTTCTATCACACCCAAAATGGTACAATGGTACAGACTGTACGAACAATGGTGCATATGCTTTCCATGGTTGATCTAAGGCAGGGGTGTCAAACTGGCAGGCCACAAGCTGGATGCATTATGTGCAGGCCACACCTATCCCAGTTCTATGAATGGGAAAAAGTCACAAAATATCATGTGATGGCAACGTGATGCCATGGGTTTGACATCCCTGATCTAAGGGAAGGTTCTATCTCCTCATATGATGTGGCAGGAAGAACTTAAACTTCTTAAAAGGGAAAATATATGCAAACCACTTCATCATATATTAATTTCCCTGTCTGCTGCAACTTAATTCACCCTTGACCTCCTGTTTCTTCCAGAAAAAGTTCTTCAAAGGATAATAATAGAGAATGGGGTTCATGAACTTCCTACACCTAATTTTCATTCAAACAATTTTGAAAGGCATGTTACCGCTTATATCTCTCCCCTCCCCCACCAATTTTATAGCACAGTTCATTTTCAAAGATTATCTGTACATATCAGAAAAATTTATTGATCTTTTATTATAGTTGCTTTTTTCTTATAGTGGAATTCATTTCTATCATCTGATGACCATTTCTCCTTCCTCTGGGTGCTCTTTCTCAGATTATACTCACCTAATCAAGTCTTGTAATCAAGAAACAAGGAGATTCAGCCCTGCTCATATGCTCTATAATTGCCTTTGATATTAATAAACACTATATGCATTGGATGATGCAGAGGCCGGGAAGACATTGGAATGGCTGGTATATTATTGTATCCTGAAGCACAGTGGTTATTCTCCTACAATACAGGGAAGATTTACTGCATCCAAAGACAGTTCCAACTTCTACCTCCAAATGAATGACTTGAAAATGAAGGAAACAGCTGTATATTATTGTACTGCTAAAATACACAACATTGGAAAGAATCATGATGATGGAAAAAAATCCTTCTTGGTTTGGAGCAGTGATATTTCATGACCTGATTAGCTGGCAGGTTTATTTATTATGAGAAACCACTGTTTCTAAAGAAAACATAAGGGGCAATCTCCCTCTCTATGAAAAATAATTGTTTCATGCATGAAAAATCCAAGATGTGAGTTACCATCTGTTTTCATAGCCAACTGTGTAACTTATAGATCATGAACAGTCCTCCACATCAATGTTTGTCAATCTTGTCAACTTCAAGATGCCTGGATTTCAACTCCTAGTATTCTTACTCAGCATGAATTCATAGATGACTCTCACTCTGTCAAGGACCTAGGAGTATTTATCTCAAATGATCTAAGCCCAAAAGCTCACTGTAACAGCATTGCCAGAAAGACTTTAAGAATTAACCTTAACTTTAATTTGTGAAGCTTCTTCTCAGGCAACATTGAATTGTTAACTAGGGCATACAAACCTTTGACAGACCAATTCTTGAATACAGCTCATCTGCCTGGAACTTGCACTGTATATTATACATTAACACAATTGAGCTGGTTCAGAGGTATTTCTTGAGAAAAGTACTCCACTCACAATAGAGTTCCCTTTGTCTCTAGGCTTGAAATTCTGGGCCTGAACTATCTGGAACTGTACTGCCTGTGTCTGATCTAAGCATAGTACACAAAATTGTCTGCTATAACATCTTGCCTGTCAATGACTTCTTTGGTCACAACAATCACAACAATACATGGTCAAACAACAAATACAAACTCAAGGTAAACCACTCCAAACTCAATTGCAGAAAATATGACTTCAGCAACAGAGTGGTCAACGCCTGGAATGCTCTACCTGATTCTGTTGTTACAGCCTCAAACCCTCACAGCTTCCACCTCAAACTGTCTACCATGAGACCTCACCCCATTCCTAAGTCCTTAAAGGGGGCATGCATAAGTGCCTACCACCCCTGTCTTACTGTCCCCATTTATCTGTATTTACTCCCTTGTTCTTGTTTATGTTCTTACTTATACTTGTTATCTTGTACATATTTTACAAACAAACAAACACACCCATGCCCAGTTTAGCAAAGGGTGATATATCATGTGATGCCACTGCGACAATGCAAATTTGACATCTCTGACTTAAGAGCATTATGTACTTACCTAATGGGCACTTTGAATACTATGCAAATTACTTTATGACATGGATTCTTTAAAGGGGAAGATGCTATTCCATGTAGAGCAATCAAGGATTAACGTGACCATTAGGTTTCTTGTAGCTGGAGATCAGATTTTCTGCTCATCTTGGTTAGACAATATTTACATTATGGAATGGACATCCTTGGCATGCTTCATATTGTTATTTCCTGCATGTAAGAAAAAAAAAAATACAGATCTCTTCTATCTTCATGTAATATTCCAACATGTCACTCTGTTACGTTGCTGCACCGTCATCTTCTCCTTTTTAATTTTCTAATTTGCATTTTTGTGTCACAGGCAGTTCATCCAGTCCTACCATTATTGAATCTGGTGGTGACATTAAGAGACCTGGGGAGTCCATAAAACTGACTTGCACAGTGTCTGGATTTTCTGTAGCAGAGTCATACATGGATTGGATCCGTCAACGTCCAGGAGAGGGACTGGAATGGATTGGACGTGTTGCAAAGAGTGGAAGTGTGTACTACAATAGTATTTTGCAAAATCAGTTAACCTTCACAAGAGATACATCCAAAAATCAGGTTTTTGTCCAAGTCAATGGTCTAAAACCAGAAGATACTGCCTTGTATTCCTGTGTAAATAACACACAGTGAATCATCCCTTCTAAAATTATCCTTCCTCAAATACATCTATTCATCCTGCTCATAATTTTGCATGTCACAGCTGCTAAGCAACTTCTTTTTTCAGTCAGCTGTGTTCCTCAATCACTGTAATAAGAATGATATAACATCATTCTTTTTTCATACTGCAATTGTCATATATGATACAGACAAGAGAAATGTAGATATCCCATGTTCCCAGTTGGAGAACTGAAAAATGAGTTATAAATAAGAGAGGAATGGAGAGGGGAAAAATTATTCCAAAGATTGTTGATGATTCTTCTTCCTTGTTTACTACATAGCAAAAAGCAGTAGAAGTGAGCATGTAGATCTGATAAATTTTAATGTTGTAGGCCTCCCAGGGTCATCTATATGAGAATTGGGCAACTATATACATAAATAAATAAAAACTGACGTTTCCTTTTGAAGAAAATAAGGAAATCAACCAAAAATTTATTATGCAGATAATATTTGGAACTACTGTTCATTAATTGATTCATTCATATTTATATAGTCACCTGATGGCTATATAAATGGCTATATAAACATGGTTCTGTGCAGCATACAATGCACAGTATGTGCCATACAATAACAATATTAAAAGTATTTTATAACTAAAAACATCCACTAGTGTTACTGTTAGATCTGGGAGGATGGGTCCACAGACAGAGACAAGACTCAGATAGCAACAACAGCTCTTTATTAGTGACTTCAGATCTGAGCTAAATATCCCAGCCGCAGCAGCCCCTTATATAGGGCTGGCTGCGGCTAGGTAGCCAATGATGGTGATTTGAGTTTGCCGCGCTTGGTTAGACCAAGTGTGGCAGCCCGTTAACTAGCCAATCGGATCAGTCTGAGGCGACCAATCACGATCTGCTGCCAGCAGGCCAATCCGAGTTGCAGGGTTTCAAGCCTGCTAGTCCGGAAAGCCCCTCCCCTCTCGGTTCCATTTAAGGGGTCGGGTTATGTAGTCTTTCAGGTAGGCGGGTCTTCTCACCTGTCTACCTGACTTGCGTAATTCCAAATGCCCGTGTTCAGTTTCGGGCTCAGACAGGCTGCTTGCTGGATCTGCCTGGGACGGTGAACCTGTGTCATAGCTGCGACTCTCCTCTGGTGACCTCAGGATGGTTGAGTCGCCAGCTTCGTTGCTACTGCTCGGGCTCCCAAGGCTTGCTGAGCCTGCTTGGCTGTTACTTCTAGGTGAAGTGTTCATTTGCCCAGGCTCTACTTCAGTTGGTAAGTATTGTAAGCTTTGATGTGGTGATCTTGGGGTTAGTTCTTGTAGGCCAGATGTTGGTTCTATTCCAGGACTCACGGTTTCCCCTCCCCCCCTGGTGTCGTGGTTGGGGTCACTGATGGAAGTTGTGGTCAGTCTGGAATGTAGCTGGTCAATATGGCATTTCCACGCTCTGCCATCAGTGGTTAGTAGGCGGTAGGAGTGGGGGCCTGTGACCTGAATTATTTGGGCAGGAATCCACATGGGGTCCCCTGAAAAGTTTTTTGCAAAGACAAGGTCTCCTACCTTAAAGGCACGGTGCTTGCTGCTGGAGCCCAGGGGTTTTTCCGGGGTGTAAGTAGGGTGTAGGTGGTTTAGAGGTGATCTGAGTTTCCTGGCCATCAGAAGTTTTGCTGGGCTCTTGTTGGTCATGCTGTTGGGTGTGATGTGCTGGAGAAGGAGCATCCTAGTGACTTCATCGTGGATGTTTCCTTGTTCCATTTGTTGAAGAGTTTTTCTTGTGAACTGAACCACTCATTCAGCTCTACCATTCGCCGCTGGATGAGCCGGCAATGTCAGTGCGTGTCGGATGCTACGGTCTGCTAGGTATTGTTCGAAGGCTAAGGCAGTAAATTGGGGCCCATTTTCAGATACCAGAACATCAGGTAGGCCGTGTGTTGCAAAAAGTCTGTTCAATTTCTTGATGACTTCATCTGTGGTCGTTGTTTTCATTTTATTAACCTCGAGCCAGTTAGAATATGCGTCTACTGTTATTAGAAAAGTATGCCCTTTTGTAAAGTCGATATGAATACGCGACCAGGGACCTCTGGGTGTTTCCCATTTGGCTGGTGGAGCTTTTGGTGGGGCCAAGTGTGTCTCTTGGCATCTGTCACAGGTGGCGACCCAGGTTTCAATTTGTTTGTCCATACCTGGCCACCAGGCATAGCTCCTTGCCAGCGCTTCCATACACATGATGCCCATTGTGCAGCAATTGTAGAACTTTTTTTTGTAGTTTTGCTGGTATGACCGCTCGGTCTCCCCATAATACGCAACCTCTTTGTGAGAAAAGATCTGTTTGTCTGTTCTTGAAGGGTTTAAAGGTTTCGCTGGGCTCGCTTTCCCACCATCCCCTCTCTACCCAGCCAAGAACTCGTGCCAGGCATGAATCTCTTTTGGTTTCAAGGGCGATGTCTTGAGCTGTTAGTGGTGGGGAGGGGATAGTCTCAATTTGTAGTATTGGCAGTGTGGGAGCTGGGTCATCTTGCAGTTCGGGTAGTGGAGAGAGGCTCAAGGCGTCTATGTGGGGAATAGTTTTTCCAGGGCGATGTCTCAGTTGATAGTCGTAAGCAGCTAGGAACTCCGACCAACGTGTCATTCTGGGAGATAGAATGTGTGGAGTGGGTTTGTCGCCTGACAGGATGCCAAGTAATGGTTTATGATCTGTGATGATGGAAAATGATCTCCCATACAGATATTCGTGGAACCTTTTGATCGCAGATACAATTGCAAGGGCTTCCTTGTCTAGGTAACTATAGTTTATTTTTGTTTTTGACAAGGTTCTTGAAAAAAATGCAATAGGTGCCTCAGTACCATTTGGTAGGACATGGCTCAGGATGGCCCCCACCCCAAAAGGTGAGGCGTCACAAGTCACAGTCAATGGGAGTATTTCATTATATTGTATGAGCACTGCATCTGAAGTGAGAAGGTCCTTTATTTGTTGGAAGGCATGTTCCTCCCGTCGTCCCCAAATCCAGGAGGCCCTTTTATCGAGAAGTCTATGAAGGGGTTCAGCAACGGTCGCCTTCTGGGGTAGGAAAATGTTATAAAAGTTAATGAGTCCCAGGAAGGCTTGAAGGTCTGTTTTGTTTTTGGGTCTTGGGGCATTTTTGTTGGCTGCCAATTTCTTTTCTGTAGGGTGAATTCCTTGTTTGTCAAGGAGGTAACCAAGAAATTCAACCCTTTCAGTGCATAACTGGCACTTTTTCTTTTTTACCTTGAGGCCAGCATCTTTGAACCTTTGTAGGACTGTTCTGAGGCATTTCTCTAAATGACTCTTTGTTGGGGCGGCTATTAAAATGTCATCAAAATAGGGCACAACCCCTTTTATGCCCTTCAATAGTCTCTCCATCAGGCTTTGAAAAATGCCTGGTGCTATGCTGACTCCAAACTGGAGCTTGTTACATTTGAACGTGCCTCTGTGTGTAACTATAGTTTGGGCTTTGGCGGTTTTGGCATCTACTGGAAGCAGTTGATAAGCTTGGGCCAGGTCAAACTTTGCGAATATTCTGCCACCCCCAAGTGAATGTAGGAGATACTGGATGACTGGTACCGGATAGGTGCTCTGCTGCAGTGTGTGGTTGAGGGTGGCCTTGTAGTCACCACAGATTCTCAAAGACCCATCAGGTTTTATAGGGGTGACAATTGGTGTCTCCCGTCGGGCATGATCAGTGGGTTCTAACACACCTTGTGCAATTAATTTGTCCAGTTGCTCATCAATTTTGGGTTTGAGAGCAAAGGGAACTCGACGTGGTTTTAGGCGAATGGGCGCAATGTCAGGGCGGAGATTGAATGAAATAGGGGACCCTTTGTACTTTCCTAAATTTTCGCTGAAAACTTCCTGGAAGTCCTGGATGAGGGCTGCTTCCCAGTCATTGTCTTCAGTATGGTGAATGCCTGCCATTCCGATTCCTAATGGAGTGAACCACTGAAGGCCCAGTAGGCTTGGTCGGTCTCTATCAACAATGGTGAGTGGTAGTATTGCAGTATATCCCTTGAAAGAGACCTGGAAATGGCTGGTGCCAGAAATTGGAATCCGGTTGCCTTGATAATCTTTCAGTATGTGTCTCTGATTGCTGAGGTCTTGGCGTCAGATGTTGGGAATCAGTTGCTTGAGCGTTTTCCAGGATACCATGGATAGTGAGGACCCAGAGTTGACTTCCATGATGCAAGGTTTATTTTCGATGGTGACCTTTACATGGATTTTTTTAGCATTTAGCAATGAAGCGTGGCCGATGGTGATGGTCTGATGTGCCTCTTCCCGTCTGGATACGCCAGTAAACCTTTGGGGGTCTGTTGTACTGGTTCCACTGGTTGCTTGGACGATCCCTCTGTGTGGTGGGGTTGCCATCGGTTCTTTTGGGGCTGTTCCCTCTCCGTCGGGGGCTGGAGCCTCTTTTATTCCTGCATACCTTAGTAATATGTCCTCGTTTTTCATAAAAATGACAGATGGCATCTAGGAATCTGCACTCGGATCGTGGGTGGTTCCCACCACACCCGGCACATTGGTAGTTCAATTTACAACCCCACTGGTCCCATTGCTCATGTTCTGACCAGAGTCTGTGGACTTCTTCCTCCTCACTGTCTGAGGAGGATTCGACATCTTTGTGATGGGTGGCCGACGTGTATTTGTCTGAAGGCTTCCCTGTATCATTGGTGGGTTGGCGGTTAGCCCCACTGGTTCGGTACATTCGAGCTGCTGATTTACAAGTAGCTTCAGCTGCAGTGGCATCTGCTATGGAATCTGCAAGGGAGATGTCTCCTTTGGCCATGATCTTGCTTTGGACGGTTGGATCTCTCAGGCCAAGGACAATTCGGTCCCTCATGGCTTCTTCTAGATTAGCAAAGCCACATAATCCTCCCAGGTTTCTTAGGTCAGCCACGAAATCCCCGACGCTCTCACCTTCATGTTGATCCCTCTGGTAAAATTCGTGCCTGCATATGAGAGTCAGTACTTCTGGGGGATAATGTTTGCGAAGGATGGGAGCAAGGGTATCCCAGT